CACTGTCCTCAGGATGTCAAATGTCCTTTTCTGTTCCTTAATTCCTCTACCTTTTAATACTCCAAAGATTCTTCATTTACTTAAAATGAAGTTAGCGTTATGCACAAAACAACGGCATTTGACCACGTTTAGCTGTTACAATTGATCTTTAAAAGAAAATACTCGGATGAACAAAATGCAAACATTTAAAACGCGAATAAATACATTTAATGTACCGTTTGATCATTTAAACAGAATCAGAATATTTCTTCAGTTCATGCAAAATCTGTGTTACGAGTTATACATACTGCATTACGTCACTGAACATAGTGTGTATATGATATTTTTTTTGTATTTCCCTGTTCTTTAAGTTGAGCTCGTCTTCCAATGATGAATAAACCTAATATTACAATTAAGTTCAAAAACAGCAGTTTTTCTATTCTAGAAGACCGCCTGTTAAGTTTGGTGGGTACTGTATTTCTTGTATGTCTGTGATTAGTAAGAATAGTTAATAGTTTTTTTTATAGTTTTAGTTTCACTGTGTTCTACATTTTCAGAGGACTGCTTTGAGTACACCTGAAGGTGATTTGAGTTCATATTATTATTCATATTAGTGAGCTGCAGCTTCCTAGCATAATATGTTCTCTTTAATGGGGAAAAATCGTCTATTATTTGTTTGTCAAAATGACAGCCTGCGTGCTATATGTTATGTTGAATATATTCAAGCCGTAAGTAAATTTGTGATCCGAACCGCAGGTGAAATTATTACTGATGACATTATTAAAGTTCAGCACGAGTGACGTGTTTGCCTCTAGAGAATTCGTTCCGTTGGTCTGGAGAACTCCGTTTTTCTCCGGCTCCTGTTTTTAATGTTTGGGAACTATTGAATGTGGCGCTACCTATCACATTCTTTTCACGAGTAGGTGTTGAATTGCGATATTATTATTATTATTATTTTTCCGGAAAGCTTTGCTGAAAGTACACCGTCTGAAAACATGATCAGTTTTGATTTGGCCTGGAACTGCGTGAGAGAGAGAGATTCTCTCTCTCCTCATTAAACAACAACAACAAAAAACTGAGCCAACCTGTTCGACTGCTCAGAGCTGTCCTCGCCGGTTGAAGGCAGCTCTTTGTCATGCGCTGACCAATAATGTAAAACCACGTTTTAGAAATTCCTTATATGTTAATAGCGCACCTGACCAGAACATCTTGAGAAATCGTAACAGCTTAAGGGAAACGGGCAGATAGATTTTTTCACGGAGACGAGCAGGAACCGACGAAACCAAGCACTAATGATTGATTTGATCGATGGAGGCGTTTATCCAGAGCAACATAATGTACGCTTGACCCTATTTCTATAGTGGGGGGGTATATTAGGGAGGCAATGTGCGCCCTGCTTCGGGGTGCCACAGCACTGTCCCACTGAGGATTTGAACCTGCAACCCTGTAGCTAGATCCCCGATCGCTGCCCCGCGAAGAGACCTGTACCAGTAGAGAGCACAGTATACACGGTACAAACTGGGATGGGACGGTTTCTCTCGGTGACACTTCTAAGGTTTTCCTTAATAGCAAACCAGTTCCTTTATGTCCTCTGGGAAGCTGTTCAAAAAGTCCTTTTTTTTTTTGTTTTGTTCCGGGCTGCTTTCTGTCCGGGTCGGACATAATTGTCATTGTTTTTCGTTTTTTTTTTAAAAAAATTATTGTCCGTGTTTAATATTTGCGACTTCACAAATGTGACTTTTATTTATTTTTTCCTCCCGGAGACCAGAAGTGTCCCCCACCCCCCACTCGTGGGTACTATTAAATCGTCAGATTTTATTTTATTTTTTTCCCCTGCAACCTTTCCGGAAGGGCACAATGAGAGGGGAGAAACAGTGTCAAACGCAGAGCTCCAACTGGAATGAGTTCAAGATCCTCCTCAACTGGACCAACCCGTTCAGATCGTCTGAGCCGGGCAGTCGCCAGTATGAAAGTAGGTGACATACTTTCACTCACCCAAACACCTAATCACACAGTCCCAACCACTCCCCCTTCACAATTC